TATCTCTGCTAGTTAAGAAGCTATAAGCCAAAACGTAAAAAAGCATACCCTACCCATCCGCCAGCCTACTAGAGGTGGTGTTATTAAAGCTTGATATGCGCCTGCGCACGCCAACGCCACTAAAACCAAGCAACGTTGCCTGGGAGCTAAAGATACCACACACTGCTTACAAAGTAGAGGAGCAGTTAACTCTAATTTAAAAGCAGATTTAAATCTATTTAGGGTCTCTAGCAAGTTTGTTAGATAAGAAGGTTAAACAGTTAGTAAAGGGCGCTTAGTAGATAGCTTATAATATAGTGTTAATGCAGGAGGAAATAGGCTACCTTTAAGCCACTATAGAAGCGTCTACAAAGTGCATAACCTATAAGTAATAATATATACGCGTAGAGGAGACCCCTATAGTTAGCAAAGTAGCTAATATAATTACTAAAAAGGAGGGTAGGGGTTATAGTAAGGGTAAGAAGCCAGTAAAGAGGGTGCGTGTTAGATAATACTGCAGGTTTTGCAGTAAGATTAGACATAATTCCTACACTTACAAGGTAGAAATAGAGGACGCAGATAATATTAAAGCTTCTAAATAATACTATCTAGGCCTGTAACTAATTATTTATTTGTGTTGTGTTGTGATATAGCGCTGCGCAGGCGTTCTGTTGCTGAAAGTGCGGCGCTTGGTTGGGTGCGGCGCTCGCTTGTGAAACACGTTATCTCTTACAATAGACTAAGACCTATAGGTGCTAAAGACAGAAATTGCTACCTTTAATAAAGGCCTAACTATTATTAGAAACCTATTCTAGATAACAAGTAGAGATAAAAGACAGAGACAATAATTAGGCTCAGTCTGCATAGCATTTGCAATAGAGAGGGAAGCACAATAGGCTATTAGAATTAGACTACACCTGCTTAGTGCTAACATGAGTGTATAGCGAGTGGGCTGGCTAAGCGAATGGACCGACTCAACAAGCCAATAGGCCTTCTACACGCAATCACTCAACACCACAATGTTTTACTATAGCTAACAGTACGTATTCTTAATTACTAATGTCTACTACATCTTTTTCACACGTGCGCAAGTTGTGCCCTGTCTTACTATAGTGCTTGTAGTGCCTTTTGCCCTGCTTGCCTGCACCTGTTTAGGCCCTGCCCTTATATATTTCTCCCTCTACCTGCGCCCTAACGTTAATTGATTGATTGATTGATTAGTTTAATGTCCTGTGTGAGTCTAAGACTATATATATAGGACGAGAGCAGTGAGGCTGCTCTAGTAATTTACAATTTTTTTCTGTGTAAGGGAATAGTATATATAGGTTTATAGACATATAGTAAGAGCCTGTGGTCTAGTTATAAATAAAGGAAATTAGTTGTCTATTATTTGCTGTAGGTATTACTTATGTGTGCCTACTTTAGTTTCTTAAATAAAAGCTAGTGTAACGTACTCCACAAGCGAGCTGGCCACCCAAGCGAGCTGGCCACTTTTGCCAAGACCACACCGAACTTCACTCTCCCTGTAATGCCTCAACGCAACAACGTAAAAAAGCCTTTAAATAAAACACATATACAGCTTGCCCTCCAGGCTATCTAGCAAGACGCAACACTAAGCGTGCGACGCGCTGCAGCAATATACTAGGTCTCTTAAAGCACCCTAGGCACGCGCCTTACTAGAACCTCTTCACAACGCGATTGCAAGCCTAACATGATAAGGATGACTAGTACTAAGGAGGAGGTGATT